TCCTTCAGCCTCTCAGCTGAAACCTCTGCTCACTCTTCCCTCCTTCATGGGCCACTGACCTGCACACAGGGAGACCCGCTTGCCCTTCCATGCTGCTGCACCCTGGCTTCCTGCCTGGGAGCTGCTCAGTGGCTGAGCACAGCGCTGGGTGCCTTTCCTGTCTCTCTCTGTTTCTGACCCACTTTTGTGTGCCAGTCCTGGGGCTTGCACTTGCAGCTTGGGTATTGTCCTCAAGCTTTTTTGCTCAAGACAAGGGCTCTACCACTTGCACCACAGCTCCACCTGTGGATTTTTGGTGATTAATTGGAGGTAAGAGTCTCACTTCCTTGCCTGGACTGGCTTTGAACTGCTATCTTCAGATCTCAACCTCCTAGGTAACTAGGATTGTAATCCTGCTGACTCATTTCTTAACACGGAGGGAGCACCCCAGAGGGGCTGGGGAGTCCCAAGTGGGAGCTGACCCTCCCTCCTGACACTGGGTCGGGTTGCTCCTGGCTGTCATCATGGTGCTGGGGGCCTTGGCCTGTGGGGATGGACGTCGCTGTCACCTGGCAGGGCACTGGCGGTCCCTCTGGGTCCAGGTCCCCAGCTTTCCCAGGATTCAAGGAGGGCAGGGGCTGGACGGATAGGAGGGAGCTGGCCTCGTTCGGAGCTCTCCCTTCCTCGCAGGCCAACGCCACCGGGGGCGGCGGGCACGTGCAGCTGGTGCAGCGCGCCATGAAGGACGTGACCTACGCCTCTCTGTGCTTCCCCGAGGCCATCAAGGCCCGGGGCATGGACAGCGCCCAGGACATCCCCTACTACTTCTACCGCGACGACGGGCTGCTGGTGTGGGAGGCCATCCTGACGTGAGTGCAGGAGCTGGGGGCGGGGAGGGCCCGTTGGGGGGCAGGGGGGCAGGGCGCTGGGGGAAGCCCCGCACACCCACTCCCGGGGGCTCGCGGGCCAGGTTCACCGCCGAGGTGGTGGGCATCTACTACGAGAGTGACCAGGTGGTGGAAGAGGATCAGGAGCTGCAGGACTTTGTGAGGGACGTCTACGTGTACGGCATGCGGGGCAGGAAGGCTTCAGGTAGGGGCGAGCTCGTGGGAGCGGCTGCGCCCTGGGGTCGGGGTCGGGGGGTCGGGGTTCTCCAGCCCTGGCCGGGGTCGGGGGATGGGGGATGGGGCGGCGGTGGGGAATGGGCTGGGGAAGGGGTGTGGGGGGGCTGGTCAGGCGTCTCCCCCTGGGGGCTCACGCCCGCTGCCCCTCCCTAGGCTTCCCCAAGTCCATCAGGAGCCGGGAGAAGCTGTCCGAGTACCTCACCGTGGTCATCTTCACGGCCTCCGCCCAGCACGCGGCGGTGAACTTCGGCCAGGTGTGCCGGGCGGGGCAGTCCTCCGGTCCCCGGACCGCGGGTCGCTGGTCCCCCGGGCGGCCTGTAGGCCTGGGGTCCACTCCGTGGTGCGCAGAGAGGAGAGGGGAGGGGACGTGAGAGGGCGGGGCCCGGGGCGGGGTGGGCGGGGCCAGCGGGGAGGCAGGGTGTGGCCTCGAGGAGGGGCGGGCCGTGAGAGGGCGGGG